AAGCCCCCCCCCCCCCTCTCATTGGAGCGTTATGTGATTTAGGGGTTGCGTTTTCATAAAGTAGGAACTTTTTTGATTCAAGCAATTTTATTTTTACTTAGAGCGAAAATATTCTGGCCGGCGGATGCAAGTTACTTTTTTAGCCAGTGTGGAGGGTGTGTTTTGGCCTACCCAGGAAATTGAAGGCGAACAGCAACATGCATGACCCCCCCGAACCCCCTGCCCCTGCGCTGCGCGTCAAGTCCGCTCCCTCTGAATTTTTAGTCTCTGTCTGGAGACCGGCGAGGCAATGAGAGCGAGCGAGGAGAGCAATTATTGCGAGCCGACGCGGAATGATACGGCATGTGTAATATGTTAGGTGTAATACGTAATGCGTGTTACGCAATATGTATCGTGTAATAACTCGCAATCATCCCGACGGAGCGGGAACCCCGCGGAAGGGGCTTAGCGCTCCGTAATGAGCATTAGCAGGGATTATTTCACGTTTGCTGACGGAGGAAGCTCTTATTAACACTCATCAGGAGCAGCGGCATTGACGCTCGTCGCCGGAGCGCGGGACCCCAAAGCCGGCAAGTCAACGAGCCTGCTGAGCTGCTGAGCCTTTGAGCCGCCCCCCCCTTCCCCTCCCCCGCCCCTTCCCCCCTCGCCCTCCTGCCGCCAATCTTCCTCTCTCCTCCTACCGCGAAATCACGACCTGTCATTTCGCTCATCACGAATGTCATAAGTCAAGATACGGATTTCATATCCACCCCCTCCTGTCGCTCAACGCTCGGCACCCCCTCCCCTTTCCCCCGTCTTTGTGTTTTTCTTGTGTTTTCGATGATGCTCGATCTGAGATGATTCTATAGGTATCAGGCTCATGCTCTAACTGGACGTCAATCAGCACTGAGCAGTGCGGAGTGAAGTTGGGTGTGTATCTCCTTCCGGAGTCTACATAGCGCCGAGTGGTATGTGAGCGAAGTGAAATTTGCTCCATAAGCGCGTATAACACTCCGTTATAAAAGTAGATACCGATTGGTGAAAGTGTAAGTCACTCCGTAAAAAGAGTAAATTCCGCTCGGTAAAGTGTAAGTTACTGCGTAAAGAGAGTAGATCCCGCTACGCATTCATATCTCTCGGATTCTGTGGGCGCTATGTAGACTCCACAGTGAGGTACACAACAACTTAACTCCAAAATGTTTTATGGTGGACAATGAGAGTTTAAAAAAAAAAAAAAAAAAAAAAAAAAAAAAAAAAAAAAAACACTCGCATGTATTCTGCCGTGTCTCCAACAATTTTCAACCCACATTTTTCAAATTGCAAGAGTCTTTGAGTGTGGTTTTATGGAAAATTTTACGAATAATGGGCAAGTCCCTCAATAAAATTTTCTGATCCCCTCCAATGCATATTTTCGACCCCAAATTGGATTTATCGCTCTATACCGAACAGTCAGGTTCCCACCTTAAAACCCCGTTTCGCCTGACTCCGTCAGATATTACTCTTGAAAAAAAAAATGCATATCAGATACTGGACGCAATTAATCATTCATCAGACCGCCTTTGCTTAGCAGAAAATTCCTCCTCGATTGTCACCGCGAAATAAATAGGTTCCTATCGAGGGTCCAGTGAGTGAGATTTCATGTACGGAAAGGAAACAGTAATAAATGTTGGAAATCTCCGGCATCCCCTTTTCGAATTTCCATTCCTCTCTTTTTTTATTTAAGGGCGTTGTAACCATCAGCTAATGACGCGGTCTCGAGGAAGGGTTGTAAAATTATACGGTCGCGTAAGGTGTCACGGTTTTCCCCCGCGGGAAGGGGGCGGAATCAGGCGTAATAAATAAAACAGCAAAATAAAAATTTTGAGCAATGAAAGTGTTGCGTCTCTCTCGCTCTGCGGGGGGCGATATCCATCTTTCAACCTGCTCCTTTCTCAACCCTTCCCGTGGCGAATAGCGTCAATCCTTCTACGCGAGCCCGGTCGTCCATAAAGCCGCATGTTTTCCATAGCTCACGCGGGAATGGAGATACACCCTTACGTCACGGGAGCGACGATAATAGCCGTCATAACGGCGGCGCCGAAACAAGGAAATTGAAATAATTGCGAAGGGAAAACGGAGAATCCATATCTGAACGTGGAAAAAAATAATTTGTCTTTTCACATTTTTCTCTTTTTTAATTAATGCATTAATTAATGGTTTCCTGAAATCACAACGGCGTCCGAGCCGTGTTTTTTCCCTCGTAAGTTGGGAGTAATGCGTTAACAATCACTCACCCTCCCGAAGCGCAGAGACGTGTATCGTCTACCAGACCGGTGTCTACTATCTCCCTCTCTCCCCCCGCGAGATGGTGTACCATTGCGCCCAATTCGCTCCCCGCCCTTATCCTGCGGGGAAAGGGGTTGACCGCAAGCTCACCACTTTCCACCTCGTCATCCCTCAACACCAAGTGCCCTCCATTTAGCATTTTTCTCCGCGCGTCGAGGAGTTATGATTGCTCATTGCATGTAATGCTTCAATGTAAAATGTCGTATGCTCTCTGACGTCCTCTTTTTAACCAAGATTGATAGCAGCGGGCTGATTATTGAAACTGATAGACAAAGCAATATACAAAGAAGACATAGGGAGTATGGAGCGATCCTATTGAAATGGGAGCTTCCTATAGACTAAGGGAGAAAATGATGGACTAACTATCGGGTCTCTCGTGGGTTGCCGTTAGTTAGTCTATTACTTACCTCCTTTGTCCATTGCAACCACCCGCTTCCACCAATAAGATCTCTCCATATCTCTTTTGTCTTCTTTGTCTACAGATTTGTCTATCAATTTCAATAATCGGCCCGCAGGTCTTCCAAACGGGCCTTGAAATTACACGCAAAAAAATTTAAAAATGTAACCACCGAACCGGACCAATATTCTTTCCTTTGACTAAGCTCTGAAAGTGGCCATAGCTTTTCCGTTTCAACGAGTTAGCAATTCAAGCAACGCAAAGGTCATAACTATCGTATCTCATTTTTAGATTCTTGTTCGTGAGAAATTTTAATTTAAGTTTCCTCAGAGGAAGCATAGGTTTGCAAATGGCACATGCCTTTGAACTAAAGACCGCTTGACCTTTAGATATCCTTTGACCCTTTTTTAATACTTAACGACATCTCACCGGAGTCTTATACATCTGAGGAATGAACACCGTGTTTTAATTCTGTAATAACGTTTCGTTTTTCCTCCATTTCATGGCGATATTTTCTTGCAGAATTGGTTGGTGCAAATTGTGCCACCTATGAAGGAAATTAAGGTGAAAAAACTTTTGACCCATAAACAGTACGCGACAAAACTAACATAAAATTCGGAAAATTTTTCTTCCTTTCAAAATTAGGGATCCCTCTTCCGTTATAACAACTTATAACAAATTTGAAAGCTTGGGTTCGTCATTTGAATCTCCTCTGCCATGTCCAAGTTCCGCTGCAGGTAATCTTGTGCACGCGTTATGATGCATTTGTCATAGATGGTCTCTGCACAAAGCTTTGCTGATCTGCAATAATTAGTACGTGGGTTTATATTTTTTCATTACCCACGCGATGTTTCTTTTCATTTTACCCGAACAGTTATGAGCAGGTTGTTTGTTAAGTATGATTGGTGACCGCAGTTACATTCATTCTGATTGAATGTTTAATTGCATTCATCAGCATGCCTCAAAACAATATTTAAGAACATGTGTTACTTTTTACGATATGAAGACTTTATACAGGGTACAACAGGGATCAAATGTTTGATATCATCGAATATCATCTTAGAAATAGGATTGGAATATTCGGCATCCAATCTTTTTTTTTTCTATATCTTCGATTACGCATGCACAAGAGCTACCTGCAAACTGTCTTTTGCCATTTTTATCTGTAAAATTCTGTTTTAGCAGATGAAATTTAGGTATGACATATCAGCTTGGCCTCTAATGGGATGAGCCCTGAAGTATTGCCATGGTGTAAATTGAATCCGATAATTCTATGGTCGAGCGGTCTTTTGGTTTCCATTTCTACTACCTGAATAAGTTTTAAAGTTCCGAGATGTAAAAATTCATTTTGGGTCGGAGAACTCAAGCACAATGTGAATTAATCTATTCTCTGATCGGCGTTCAAAATTGACAAGCTTTTCAGACAGTTTAATCTTATGCATATTTTTCTCGCGTTTTTATACTTTTCTGAAAGTTTGTAAATAACGTAACATATTTAACCTCATAATTTTGTATTCCTTAACCAAAGTTTGCTTAAAGAGTGATAATATCCAGTATAAAAATACAATCAGTTCATAAATCCTTTATTTGCATATTGACCATAATGAGGATGTCAATCTCTCTCTTGAGAACTTTTTCAGTTCACCCAGAATTTAAGAAATAAACTGGAATGATCAATGTCAACTCAGCAAAATAATTAATCACTCATGCAAGGACTTTTCTGGAAAATTTACAACCGTCTTCTCCGAAGAGACTCATGTCAAAACTTTACGAACATTTTCAGGAAACGTATGAAAAAGCTTAAACAATCTCCGATTGCTTTCTGCAAATAATAATCCAAATCCTTTTTTTATGATTCCAGATACAAAATCGAATCCAATTTGAATCATGGTAATACTTCCGGGCACCACTCGGCGAAGCGAAAACTAGACAATATCCCGAACCCCGTAGGCAAATCGAAACCCAATTCCGTGTACAGTAACCGAGACGGCCTGGTAAACTCGGATGAAGCCCCGTCGAAAAAAAGAAGGAAGCCGATGAACCGAGACATCTCAGAGGGTAACCAGCCCAACAATATCAACAACAATAGCTCAAATAAGAATAACAATAGCCATAATTTTAAGAACAACAACATCAATTGCAGCGCCAAAAAGGCCTTCTTGCTCCCGCAGAAGAAGCGGGCCTTGGTGAGCGGGAACTCTCCCAGCCGGAGTCCGCTCAAGAAGTCGGTCAAGGTCCTCACTCAAGATGGCTCCGAGACCGTTGACGACGAGACCCTGATCCGAGAGACAGAGGCTGCCCTCAAGAGTCTATCGGGAAGCTGGCCCGGCCCGAGAGCCGGCTTCTATAACAAGGGCTCCGAGCAGGACGAGCGCTACGAGTCGCCCGCCTTCGAGAACCTCTTCGAAGAGAACAAGAACAAGAAGATAGCTCAATGCTCGGCGGTGTCCTCCTCGTCGACGACGAGCGACAACTCCGTCTGCTCCCTCAAAGACGTCATCACTCTGAGAGAGGCCCAGAATGGCGAGCACAAGAGCTTCGAGTCGGACTCCACGAGCATCATCATCAAGACCGAACCAGACGCGAGCAAGTGGACAAGGCCTAGCAGAGCTAGACCCGTTCAAGACGACAGCAAATCCAAGATCAGACCCGCCGAGGACACCACAGAGTCGGAACAACCTCGGCAGCCCGTTAAGAGCAAAGCGGCGCCGCAGAAGCTGAACAGCGAAGGCGACGCCGCCGGGATAAAGACGGAGAGACTGCCTCACTACGAGACGGACTTCAACGAGCTCGTCGACGACTCGTCCAACGAGCTGGAGATCGACATGTCCGACCCGAGCGAGAAGGACGCCAGGAAAGACTGCCCGGAGAAGAAGCCCAGGATCAAAGTGGAGACGGACCTCCAGACCCAAGGCACGTACCCGTCGTACGGGAGCAACAAGGACGTCGAGAAGACGTTCTCGCAGACGTCGGCGTTTCGACCCGTCGGCGTCGGGGCGGACGCCTCCAAGGACGGCAAGCCCCGCGTCTCGGACACGATGAGCATGGCCCCGATCGGGATCGGGCCGTACCCGCCGGCCGTGGCCACCTTCGTCGGCTACCCCGGGGCCCCCGTGCCGGACATGGCGTCGCCCGGCAACCCCATGGTCGACGCCAAGTCGCCGCCCTCGGGCGTCCACCTGCTCCACCTCAAGTCCTCGGTCGTCAAGTCGGAGGACGACATGGACACGAGGAGCTCCATCGCGTCGACCACCTCCATGCCTGTCTCGGGAAGCGGGCCCGGCTCGGTTTCCCAGGAGCGTACCAAGAGCGAGCCGCCGGCGTCCATCGCCTCGCCGGACATGATGTCCTCGAAGCAGTACATCACCCTCCAACCGGCGGCCGGGTCCAGGGCTGCCACTGCCATCCAGGAGGTGGCGCGGGAAGGAGTGCTCAGCGTGTCCGCTGTCAGCAGCACCAGTTCGCAGAGTCCCGGAGTCGAGTCGCCAGCTTCTAGGTCCTTGAGTGATTCCATTCGGGGCGGACCGTTCTCACCCTCTAGTAAAGGTAAGGTAACATTTGTCCAACGGGCTTTATCCATTGCAAAGTTTCCAGTATGGATATCTCTGAGACAGTTGGGTGGCTATATTCACGAGAAAAAATAAAAACGTCGATTGGGACTTCATTACTTTGTAACATTTATCGTCGAGTTTGACGTTCCACGAGATGGCTTTGAATGTCTGGAGTTAAGAATCCGAACGTAGACGAAATAACTACAAAGTGGACAAAAACACGTCGACTTTAGGGACCAGTAAGTCTATTTACTCCTTTAGTCGCTGTAGTTTCATCTACTTGATAGTCTCCTCGTCTGCCTCCAGAATTTTAACGTCCCAACATTTAGAACGATCTCGCGGCGATGAATGTTATAAGTATTGTAGACACACGCAACATGTAAAATCTGAACCACACCGAGACTGATCAGTCGGTGACTTTCAACAATCAAGCAAAATATTGTATGGCATATTATGAGGCATTTAAGAACAGTCCCAAGTTAAGGCTTCCTGATCATTGTATTGATCTTCAAATTTTCGTTCGGTTCAGTATAGCGGCGTGATGAAATCGGTGCTTGTGAGGTAGTATACAATCCTTCTCGTTCGACATGAGCGCTGTTAAGATGCGTTTCCATTAATTTCTATCCCTAATCGTAGAATTGAAAATATTTGCGTCAAAAATAATCAAGTAAATACGTTTACTCTCGCAACTGGTGAGAGGGTAAGAATTAAGTAAAAACTAAAATGTAAAACCTGAAATTTTTTTAGAAAAATTTTAGGGATGGTAAAAAACAAGCGGTGGCGCCGCATTATGAACTTCAAGGAGGAAGTGCTCCAGGCATACTGCCGTGCTAAGGAAATACGCCGTATGAACATCCGAGAGTTGCCAAATTTCCTTCAGTAAAAGATTTATTTTGGAAGAGAGCTATGAATATTTTATCTCTTGAAATTTTCATATGATATAGACCTAATTACGAGGAAAAATCCAACACAATATATTCACAAGTTTTCCTGTAAATTCGTATTTAAACAAAGGAAATTTGGCAACTGGCGAGGGTTCATACGGCGTTTTTCCTTAGCATGGCAGTCAGTATACGTCTCATGTTAGAATGCATAGTATCACACCCTTCAAGAATAATAAACGCATGCATCTAATATTTTAAATACACTTTTATACCAAAGTTTTCAAGGAGGAAGATGAGGATTTTAAATTATTAAAAATGCTCTTGCTCCCCAGCGGGTGTACAGTCGGAGGAGGGGCACTAAAAAATACGACTTAAAAAGAAGGCGCACCCCGCAACCCTTTTAATGGAGATAACGGTAATAATTATTATTCCGAGTGGTCGTTAAAAGCTTAAACAAAAGACCCACGCAACCCTTGCCGTCAACAGAAATTATTTAGCGAAAAACGCGGAAAAGATTTACCCTAAGGTTGAGAAAGCGAGAGAAGTGGGAATATAAAGATGGCATCTTTACCCGGGGCACGTACTGATCCTTTTGACTCTTGCCACGAGTTATAGGTTTTAGAGCATCTTGAGGAACCTCACAACATCTAAACCTTGTTCTTTCCGTAATAACACAAAAGACACGCACTTTCCCAGTCCTCCAGTATCCCCTGCTCCCTCGGGTGTCTCCCAAGATTTTCTGAACTTTCTGTAAGTGATCAGTAGCATCTAATCGTGGTTAAAATGTAACTGAGCCACACTATTTTACTGGTGTGGCTCTGTGCTCTGTGACACGAACAAGGTTGTGCCTTCAATTTGATCATTAGGCAGAAATAGATCACCAGCATAAAACTAATCACATCCTCGGTATGTCATACAATGCACAGTTGCACAAGGCATGCTAGACACAAGACGCTAACACAGAGATCCTTAAAATAGTATCATGAAAATAGGATAATTATTACCAAAATTGAGTAAAATCCAGTCGTAAAACACTGAAATTAGATCCTTGTAAGGGATTACAATGATTCTTAATCGCAAAAAGTACAAAATGCAGAAGAAAAAATTCTATGATCTTGAAAAACTTTAAGGCAAAGGCGAACCTACCTTAAAATTTACGATAGTCGCATATTTCCCAAGTTTTTCTGGAAAAATGTTTAAATTTTTTATCATCAAATCATTATCATCCCTCTCCAGGATCCATTTCTAGAGTTTCACCACTGAGCTTTTCTTAAGATTTGTTAATATTGAGGGGCTTGGAAGACAAGGCGCATAAGTGCAGTTTTTGAAAAAAATTGAGATGTTAATAATTTTAAGTGAAATTAGTCTTAAGGTATTGTCTGTGAAAAAGTCGGTCCCAAATTCCAATTTTTAAGCATCAAAAAGTGAGTTTGAACTCTCTTTCTGCCATAAGGATCCATGTAATTTCGAAAAAGCAAAAGCTGCACTTATGCGCCTTGTCCACCACGCCCCTTAATTGTTCTTTCCAATGCTATGTAAAGGATCTCCTTGTACAATGTACCCTCCTTAACCCTCTATCCCATGAATTAATTTTGTATCTGAGATTCTGAGGGACACTTATCTTTTTTGTAGCTTGCATCCAAACCATAGAGTACCAAATTTGTTTTTCAAAATTTTTAATTTTTGGGAATTAGTATTATTAAAAAAAGAGAAGAACTATCGGAAACTTGTAAAATTATGCCACAAGTGAGAGATAAAATTTTTAAATATCCCAAAAATACGTTGTTACGAATTCGTAACGCCATGCCATAGAGGGTTAATCACAATGTCAGCCATATGGGGCCTCCTAAGTAAAAGGGCTGTTCAAAGAACGACGAGTACACTGCTGTGCTAAGGAAAAACGCCGTATGAACCTTCAGGCGTTGCCAAATTTCCTTTGGTAAATCACGAACTTTTGGGGAAATGTGTACATATTTTCCCTCCATTTTTTCAAGTAATTCTGTTCGCAATTTCAACTAAAGTTCCTGATAATGTCAAGGAAAAATATTCATAGCTATCCTCAAAAATGAACAGTTTATCGGTGGAAATTTGGCAACTCTTGAATGTTCATACGGCGCTTTTCCTTAGCACGGCAGTACAGCCCTCAGCATCTTCTAAAATCTCCTGATCCCTTTCTTAAAGGTGAAAGGGAAAAGTGATATTGACGGCACGGCTCCCGGAAGATCATGAGGATATTGATGCGAGCCCATTAGAGTCCTTAAAATGAGAAACGGTGTCCTTTAGCTTGCATCTGATGGCGAGTCAGGAAGACATGAGCTCGGTCGAGGGGGTGGAAAATCAAAGACAGAGAGTAAAGAAATATAAGAGGAAGGAGGCGCAGCGGCATACGGCAGGAGGATGTTAATAGTTAAAATTCCAAACAGGATCCCGAAAGACGATAATGGGGAAGTAACATCTGTCCTTGTAATATCAACCCTCGGCTCAGCCATCCTCGCCGCGGCGCGCGCTGCGGTGTCGTCAGCAGTCCGCCGGAGCTCCTTTATTATTACCGAAAATCATTCCCAATCAAAGTTTATCTTCTCGACTTAAAAAAATCACATGTAATCAAGTTTGTAATTCCGACCGTTTAACCCCCTCCCCCACCCCTAACCTCTCCTTAAGCCTCGTTATCGCTTCCCCCGGTTTTGCTCCCGATCATCTTTTCCCCCATCCTCCAGGAATTACATTTGATTCGCAATATGATTCGCCAGCACAATCTCAGGAAATTGCTTCCATCTCGCTGCCGTTTCCGCTGTTTTTAGTGATGGGTAACTTCAATGAAAATCTCCCGCTCACCTTTGTATCTTCGCAAAATTTCGATGAGAATGTTGATTGCAGAGATTCCTTGTGAAAACGTCCTTACTGTTTAAATGAAAGGCTTGGAGGACAAGGCGCATAAGTGCAGTTTTTGCTATCTCGAGCAGGGTCGGATTAGGGGGTGGCCACATGGGCCACGGCCCATGGCGGCAAATCTAGGGGGCGGCAAAAATTTGCAATTTTTAAAGTGCAGATATAAAAAAAATCGGATTTATACAAACAAAATTACATACGAGAAAAGGCGACAAAATCTGTCATTTCCTGAGAGTAGGTAATTTCTAATTTTGTCGTCTCTTGGTGATACAAGAGACAGCACCCTCAATAAGTCAAGTTACGAGAGAAATCGAACACGCAATTTGGCCTAGAACGGCGCGACTTAGAGAGAAATGATAACGAGAACTTGAGATGAAAAGGAGAAGCCCTCGGCGCGGCGATTGGCATGTAACACATATTAGCGCCTACAAGACTGCACGAATACTTCACGCATTGCATCAAACACAGTGCAGTCATTGCGGTCAGCGTGAAACTCATAGCGCCTACAAAACTGTCGGAATACTTCACGCATTGCGCCAAACACGGTGCGGTCTGCGCGGCGGCGGAAGTTAAAATCATTGAACCACATTTATGTTTGTTCTTTCATAATTTTTTCGTTCATTTCTTATGAATGGAAGGCCTTGTCCACACAGAGATAAGCTTACGGAACTTAACTTTCGCGCAAAGTTCCGTGAACTTTTGCTAGTAGTGTTGACAGGGCTTTCCCAAAAAATGTGTTGAACACGTATAAATGCGTCTTATGCACCTCTCCCTCGCTTGCACGTTCATTTAATGGTTTTGATCGAGTATCAAAACGAATGAGGAGGGGGCGGCAAAATATAGGCGGCCCATGGGCGGCAAGTAGGTGACTCCGGCCCTGATCTCGAGAGATACGTGTTAAAAGTTTCGAAATCACATGGATCCTTAGGGCAGAAAGAAAGTTCAAACTCACTTTTTGATGCTTAAAAATAGGAATTTGATAGCGAAAATTTCACTGAATATGCATTTAGACTAGTTTTACTAGAAATCATCAATATCTCAATGTTTTCAAAAACTGCTCTTATGCGCCTTTTCCTTCAAGCCCCTCAAAGTGACGAGGGAGACACAAAGCTATAGCCTGGTTCAACAGTAGGTAAAATACAACAAACAATTCGTCGCTTGGCTGACATAAGGGCGTAATCACACATTGAGATGAGCCCGGAAAATCATTGAATGGTATTGAAGGCAGGAGTCATTGCAGAGTGTAGTTACACCTTTATGTCAGGTAGGCGACGAATTTTCAATAATATAAAATCATACGAGTATCGCGTAACACTTAACGCGCGAAACGGTCAGGGGTGTACCCCGAAGTATACTAAAAATATGGGCATGACACAGCTAAGGGGAAAATAAACAGGATCAGGACGTTGGGGGCGTCCCTGAATTAGATAACGCTCGAGGGAGGGAGGAGGGGGGTGAAGGAGCGCGTTACGCCATTTTGTTTTTACGTGATAAATGTTGGGAACCTTCGTCACAAAAGCATTCCAGGGGGNGGGGGGGTCAGAAATGCCGAAAAGGTGCATTACGTAATTTAGGATCTATTTATTAAATCTTGTCTCTTAACATTGTTAATTTTCTCTTTTTGATTTGTTTTTCTTTTATTAGTTATATCTACACTTCTATTTGGTACATATTTTATTATTAAGACAACAACTGCAGTATTAAATACTGTTAGTTAGAATAATAAGTATCGTATTAGAATACTTATTATACGTTCTTTACTCTTATAACTTTAACTTAATATTAAAAATATAGTCAATAGATACCTTAGGTTAATTAGGTAGTAGTGACACTTATTGTATTGGTTAATATCAATAAAAATTAAAAAAAAAAAAAAAAANACTGACCGAGGTAGGAATCAGTGCGAACTGATTTTTAAACTAACAAACTCAACTCATGGCAACGTTGATCAAGTCGAAGAAACAAGAGCTAATCGGCGTGTAACACTAACCATACTCCGCGAGTAAACATCGGAGTGATTAAAGCGGAATTATTGATTTTAAAGCATTGACATTCGCAGACTGATTTATGTTCAAAATTATCGTGATTACATTAGCGCCCAAATTATCGAGTGAACACAAGCTCAAACTCAAAGCAAACACCCCCCGGCAATAAAGTATTTAAGATGTCCCCGTAATTACTGCCGAAGAAAGCAGACTGTTTACTTGCAAATACTTACCGTTAATTTTCGGGCCGCATAAGCGGACTGTGCGCGGCATGGATTTCCACGAGCCAAGCCGTGCACTTGGATAAACAGCCTCAAAAATCTGAACCCTCCGCCTCTAATGAGTCCCTTTTTTTCAACATGACCTTAATTCACTCCCAGTCTTACTTTTGAATCTTATATGGATGTTTCTATTTTCTATTTTCTCGTCTCCTAATGACAAAATATTGAATCTTGTGAAAGTTTAATGATTACTGTGGTGATTCCAAAGTTAAGTTTGCTCTACTCAAGCGTGAAGTAGTAGTGGTTAGTTTTGTATTATTTTTCCTCAATTTTCATCCTTGCCAGTGGTGAAATTCACATTTAGATGCAAGAAACAATTTTAGAAACTTTCAGAATGTACAAATTAGGAAACCATAGGGACCTCCCATTTTTGAAATAAAAGAATACACTTAAAATTTCTATAGAAAGAAAAAGCTAGCATCAAAATTTCATTATAATTCAAATCTTCAATATCGCTGCGAAACGTTGATTCAAGTGCAGTGTATGTACTTGACATACAAAACAGAATAATAATGCACGTTTAAGTTTTGTAAAGATTTACTAAAATGAAGTGACAAAAAACGAATGTGAGTGGGACGTTAAAATGGGGCTAAAAGTCCAAAGCAGGGTCCGAATTTGCACATCTTGATAGTGCTGTTGGTGGTGGTGTCGTNCTCAAAGTGACGAGGGAGACACAAAGCTATAGCCTGGTTCAACAGTAGGTAAAATACAAGAAACAATTCGTCGCTTGGCTGACATAAGGGCGTAATCACACATTGAGATGAGCCCGGAAAATCATTGAATTGTATTGAAGGCAGGAGTCATTGCAGAGTGTAGTTACGCCTTTATGTCAGGTAGGCGACGAATTTTCAATAATATAAAATCATACGAGTATCACGTAACACTTAACGCGCGAAACGGTCAGGGGTGTACCCCGAAGTATACTAAAAATATGGGTATGACACAGCTAAGGGGAAAATAAACAGGATCAGGACGTTGGGGGCGTCCCTGAATTAGGTAACGCTCGAGGGAGGGAGGAGGGGGTGAAGGAGCGCGTTACGCCATTTTGTTTTTACGTGATAAATGGTGGGAACCTTCGTCACAAAAGCATTCCAAGGGGGGAAGGGGGGGTCAGAAATGCCGAAAAAGTGCATTACGTAATTTAGGAACGGTCCTTTTCAGAACTAAAGTGAAAAAATAATTCAAGAAAATGAAGATGTGACTGACCGAGGTAGGAATCAGTGCGAACTGATTTTTAAACTAACAAACTCAACTCATGGCAACGTTGATCAAGTCGAAGAAACAAGAGCTAATCGGCGTGTAACACTAACCATACTCCGCGAGTAAACATCGGAGTGATTAAAGCGGAATTATTGATTTTAAAGCATTGACATTCGCAGACTGATTTATGTTCAGAATTATCGTGATTACATTAGCGCCCAAATTATCGAGTGAACACAAGCTCAAACTCAAAGCAAACACCCGCCGGCAATAAAGTATTTAAGATGTCCCCGTAATTACTGCCGAAGAAAGCAGACTGTTTACTTGCAAATACTTACCGTTAATTTTCGGGCCGCGTAAGCGGACTGTGCGCGGCGCGGGTTTCCACGAGCCAAGCCGTGCACTTGGATAAACAGCCTCAAAAATCTGAACCCTCCGCCTCTAATGAGTCCCTTTTTTCCAACATGACCTTAATTCGCTCCCAGTCTTACTTTTGAATCTTATATGGATGTTTCTTTTTTCTATTTTCTCGTCTCCTACTGACAAAATATTGAATCTTGTGAAAGTTTAATGATTACTGTGGTGATTCCAAAGTTACGTTTGCTCTACTCAAGCGTGAAGTAGTAGTGGTTAGTTTTGCATTATTTTTCCTCAATTTTCATCCTTGCCAGTGGTGAAATTCACATTTAGATGCAGGAAACACTTTTAGAAACTTTCAGAATGTACAAATTAGGAAACCATAGGGACCTCCCACTTTTGAAATAAAAGAATACACTTAAAATTTCTATAGAAAGAAAAAGCTAGCATCAAAATTTCATTATAGTTCAAATCTTCAATATCGCTGCGAAACGTTGATTCAAGTGCAGTGTATGTACTTGACATACAAAACAGAATAATAATGCACGTTTAAGTTTTATAAAGATTTACTAAAATGAAGTGACAAAAAACGAATGTGAGTGGGACATTAAAATGGGCCTAAAAGTCCAAAGCAGGGTCCGAATTTGCACATCTTGATAGTGCTGTTGGTGGTGGTGTCGTTGTTCTTCTTCTCCATCTTCTTCTCCTTTTTCTTCATCTTCCGATTTCCAATACGTCCTCATATGACATATCTTAAAGGTACTCTGACCTCTAAAAATGTCAAGAGGTCAACGCCTGTCACCGAGGAATAAGCTTCGCGGTTCTGTTTTCGGGCTTTCGCGGAACAAGAGGTAAGCATGTATACTGCCGTGCTAAGGAAGAACGCCATATGAACATTCGAGACTTGCCAAATTTCCCCGGATAAAACATGAATTTTTGACAAAATTTATGTATGTTTTTCCTTAAAAATCTCAGATCTTTTAGATTGAATTGCGTGCAAAATTGATTGAAAATTTTGGAGGAAATTATTCACAATTATCCTAATAAATGCGAATTTTTATCGAAGGAAACTTGGCAACGTCTGGACGTCCTTAGCACGGCAGTACTGCCGTGCTAAGGACAAACGCCATATGAACATTCGAGAGTTGTCAAATTTCCTTCGATAAAATACGAATTTATTGGGAAATTGTGAATATTATTCTTTCAACTTTTCAGGCTATTTTGTTTGCAATTCCATCTGAAATATCTGAAAATTTCGAGGAAAATTATGCATAAATTTCGTCAAAACTACATGTTTTATCCGGGGAAATTCGGCAACTCTCGAATGTTCATACGGCGTTCTTCCTTAGCACGGCAGAGTATGCTATCACCTCATTTTGGCGATTCCAGGAATCGAGTCCGTTGAACGCTCACGTTGACGCGGCAATAACGGGGACAGAGGCGGAGGGGCGCGGGATAAATGGGCGTCGAGGAAGTATAAATCAGGATGGCAAATGGAGAAGAAATGCCAATACACAGATTCAAAGACGGTGCTGCGCCGCCCGGACCGGGCCGAGGGAGGGAGAGGGACAGTGCACGTGACTCTATTAGCCAAATATTTATTATACGACAATATCACAAGCACAAATAATTCTTCGTCTCCTCCGCGGGCTTTTAGGCTCCCGGACGCCCGCCTAACTTTCGGGAGAAAATAAAAAAAAAACGTGATCGAACAAGTTAATCTGTTAATTTATTGGCCCGCGGAGAGTGCTTTCCATAACTCGAGCAAATTCTTTTAAATTGAGACTAATAAAATGTTCCTCCTCCCTCCCGCGCCCGTTCCTCCTTTCGCCCTCCGATAAAAATTATTACCTGCTACGTTTTCTATCTCCGTCGCTTCACAATCAATTATTTTCAGTTCCTGTCCCATCTGATTCGGCTGTGTGCCGGTTGGGGTCGCCGTAAGGTCGAGGAACTTGAACTCTGTTCTGAAAATCGAGTCAAAACTCACGCTGTGAATATGTGAAAGGCAAATAGTCAAATATTCTTACTTAGATTGAAATTTTGATTTTCACCCCAATTTTAGGCAAAGTAATTCGTCACTCCTGTAAGAAATAATTCTCTGTAAAATATGCAGCATATAATAGTATTTTAAACGATTTTAAGATCCTAAATGCACATTCATCATGAAATTTTCAGCACGTCGTAAAACATTCCATTTGCAGGTTATTTAAAAGGTTTGAGGTTGTGTTGCTCCATAAAGTGACCAGTTTTGACTTGCATTTTAACAAAACGAATAATTTATTCCGACTTTGAAGTGTTGAAAAAAAGAAACCTGTGCGACTAGCTGAGCTATAAAAACACATTATATAGGAAAAGAGCAAGGGAAACGACGCACGTTGATGACGGCGCAGAGGTACAACTATTCGTACTTGATGGATGTCCGTGTTGCGTCTGAAAAATTGAAGGCGCGATGGCGCGAGGCGTGAATTCGCAATGCTCCGCTCTAAACTGTTGGTGAGGTGTCGTTTAGATTCGGTAGAAAAGTTAAAAAACGCCCAATTACGTCTACGGTCTTACGGTAGGCCCGATTACGTCTCCTCTAGGTATCTTCAGCTGCGTTGCTCAAGTGGTCCATGGAGCATCACTACAAATAAGAGAAACGGAACTAACATAATATGGAATAGGGCAAGGAAAAGGACGCTCGTCAATGACGGCGTAGAGATACAACTATTCGTGCTTGATGGATGTCCGTGTTGCATCTGCAAAATTGAAGGCGCGATAGCGAGAAGCGTGAACTCGCAATGCCTCGCGTTACGCTGCCAATGAGGTAGGAATTGCTCGGATTCGGGAGAAAAGTTTGAAAACGAAGCCCGATTCCTATCTTCTGCTGTTTTAAGAGTGAACACTCGATTTTTTTTTTTCTTTCTGTGTTACCGGGTAATGCTCTCACAATCTTTTCTGCAAAATATTTTGCCTTGTCAACTTTCGTTTTGACAATTCCAGTTAATTTTAAGCAATTTGACTTTTATGTTAATTTTGATTTTTGGCATCGCTGGCATTTGAAGGGTGCGTCAAAAGTCTCAAAAGAGGACGAAGGGGGGGGGGGTGAAGTTCTATGGGAGCTCGTTAAGTTATACCTTGACACCTTTTCACTCAACTAGACTATATTTACCACCTACGTTCCAATTAGCTTCAATGCAATAGACATACCTATGCAACTGAAGAAAAGCGAGAAATCATGATTTAACAATGTGGATTGGAATGAAGGATGATTGTATTTATTATTTGTCTTCTTCTTTTTTACAGAGGGTAGTAAATGCCCAACTCCCGGTTGCAACGGTCAAGGACATGTGACAGGTCTCTACTCGCATCACAGAAGGTAAGAAAGTGACATGAATTTCCTTTCAGCATGACGTGACAAGCTTAATATCTCAGTCGAAGTGTGCAAAAAATTGTGTGTGTTTGTGCGAGACAATCACTAAAATTAACTGAAAAAAACTTATAAGACGCTTTGAATAATCACGTGAAAACGTATCTACACATGAACCACACGCTGCCATTTACACTGTTTGTTTGAATAAATATGTTCTCCAATTTCTGAATTTTATGATGAATGAAAACGCCAGACCTCTCTCTTTGAAATCGGAAATGTATTTTATGATCCGTCACATACATTGCTATCATTGCTGGGTATAACTCGATAAATTCAGAGTTTTCTTCGCATGATGATGAGTCATGATCAGGTATGCACTCTATGTGAAACGATTTTCAGATTTGTAGAGAACTCTTCGTAAAATTTGCAAAAACTGACTTGACTTTATGCATTTTCATGCTTAGCTTGTCCGGATGTCCACGAAAAGACAAACTCACGCCAGAAAGTAAGTATAGAACTTTTCTAAATCATATTTTCCCCTCAAAAACTCTGTCAATTCATCCTATATATTTTCTTTGCCCGACTGTCATTCCTTAAACCAAATATTCTCGTCTTATCATTGTCTTTTCCTCCTTTCCTTATAGCGAGGTAGAGAGTTTTCTGTTCTTAGTCATGTTCAGAAGATATTCGTATCAAGTCAAAAAGTAAGGGAGCTTATAGATAACTATAAATTAGAAACAAAAGTTTATAGTTTTGAGTCATTTAACTGCAGTGTTAACCTTCTGTGAAGAAGCTAAGTAATATTTTGCATAGTACTTTCCCAATAAATTCGGTAGTCTATCAGTACCCAACCAACGAACCCTGGCTGTTTCTTAACGTTTCCTACAATTCAACGCAAAAACTTTTTCCATTCATTCGATTATTGGTTCTTCTCCGTTTGCCTGCTTTTCATTATTTGTTTCTAACTTTTTAGTTCACATATTCCTATTATCTCTCTTTTATACGCCTAAAATCCTGTTTTCTAATTCACTCCATCCCATTATTCCCAGCTTCGTTTATAGTGTAAGTTCTGAGCTCTAGTGAAATTCCTTAAAAATGAAAGGTTGTAGGAGACTCGGGTTTGAATTTAGTGTAAAGGAGCGTGTATCAGACCAGAAAAGAATATTGGTCATAAGATAAAATACATACTTAAACAAAGGGTCTTACAGTCTTATGGGACTATTCAGAGCATTTAAATATTCTCAATTCACATTTTTAAATTTAGCAGTTTGAGACTAATGCTTAAAAATGTAACCTACACCTAAATATTTTTCGGTCCATCTCAAATTATTCTTATATTTACCTGTACATACTTCCATCAATTTATGAGAGGAAAAAAATAGATTAAAACTTACGCGAAAATCGAATAGTGGCTACAAGAATTCCTGTGAATTTTGAATAGTCCATTCTAATCAGAATGAGCAAATTTTTAGAGATAAAAGATTGGTCCTCGATCAAACCCAAACCTCATCATCCAACTCAGAGGCGTGCCTGATTTTAAATATATCAGGAGAGTGATTAGTACTTATATTTTTCTGTTTTTGCTTCTCGACACTCTCTAAATGTAATGAAATTCACTCTCGGATAAGCTGAACTGGATTTTTGAAAGCTCGTGGAGGATCATGGACTTAATTTTGCAAAAATAGCCTTTTCACTACCTCGAGTTAACATGCGTGAGTAAGATGAAAGGAATCTTAAGAGACATACGTAGATCTCAAGAGTCAAAATTAGTGTGCACACAGTATTATATTAAAGAGAAAAACAGTATATCGATATCACTACATGAGATTTGCAGAGAATAACCAGCCGTAAGAACATTCATGGACAGTTCCGTCCTGCGATAATGATCGATTTCCTTCCAAGACAAATGAACCACTAAGTGACACATTTGTATAATCCCAGATCTAGGTCTGTTTTCCTCTGAAGGCTATTCTCAGGATGATTCTCCCTCAGATGCCCTTATCAACACTTAATCTCAAATGCAAATGAACATCAAATCTAAAATAATTCGCAAAATTAACGGTTTGGATCGGCCCTTTTTACAAGCTAACATCCATACTGATATCAGAAATTTCTATCAATCAGCATTGATCAACAGGTTTTGTCACTAATTTTAATTAATTATTATACATTAATTCCTAAATGTATGTTGATCTCCTATCTTTACATTGCATCTTGAGTAACTTGCAGGTAGACTCGTTTTAAGATTTCATGGATTCGATTCTTGATTCGAAGGTTCAGAATCTTCCTAACGAAAATTTGCGATCATGACATGGCCCTTTTAATTTTGAATGTGACGCGCCTTCAATTGAAAAAGAGACAGCATCCTAAAAACAAAACTTTATTATTTTGAGGACAGAATAATTGTGTGTATTTTTTCTGGTGAAAAATAAGTCGTTTAAATTAGACTTTTTAAGGGCCTTGATTTTAAGTTGACTTTGATCATCTCTCTATCCTCGCTCTCCTTCAGTTTTCCCCTCCTTTTCCGACGATCATTTTTCTTTCTTTTCCCGGAACTTCTTCAGTTCGCTTCTCTAACTTTTCTCCTTTTTTTCTCACTGTTTCTCCCATCCCTCCTCAAATTCATCGCTCTAACATATTAGGTCTAAAACATGAAAACACGATGCTCACACAAAAATCTCATTAAATAACTGGCGAGGGGACTAAACGATCTTTCCTTGTTTTTTCAATTATTTGTAAGTTTGGATAAAATTTTCAATGGGTTTTATCTTGGAAAAAGTATTAATACCAACTTAAGTAACAATTTCTTGATTACATATCCAGTTTTCTCATCAAATTAGCGATTTTGGAATCACAATGTTTCCATTCATTTTTCACAGAAGGTTTAAAAAGCTACAACATTACTCGTAACTATATTCTTTGTGTCAATTTTTTTATGCATCGACTTTAAATTACTCCGCTTAAAATGCTCAACCTTGCCTTCCGATTTGAAGATTGGATGCTCTGGATTTTCGCACATTGTTTCACATTCAGACTCTCAAATTTTCTATTTAGGTGCCCATTAATTAGATCGTTGGAAGAGATACCTTAGAGTTAAATGGGACCGAAAACAAAAAGCAATCTGCGATTTGAAACAAATTCCAAATTAAAGACTGTCATAACGCTCATTTTCATTGAATATAAATTAATACTAATTAATTCTGATCATTGAAAAAGCGCCGAACCATGCTTAAAAATTTTCACGAGGATTTACCGGTATTATTACTACCTTTGCCTCTCTATAATTTTCTCGCTTTCTCGTTTGCTCGTAAATTAACTCTCCCGTAGTGCATTTCTTCATTTTTAGTTAGAGTCATCACAAATTCTTTCGCAGTTATCCCATTTGCGTGCAACACATTTTCTTCGAGCTGCAACCAATTTTATGAGATGTTTGAAACAGATTCAGTTCCAAGCAGTGAGATTTGTAAATGAATATAAACCCAAAATGAGCGTGTTTATTACCCATCTGTTTCATAATTTCTTTTTGATTCACGAAAAGTATAATCTCACGATAAAGTCCGATGCATAAAAAAGGCTTAGTTTATTTTATAGTTATCTATACTTAATGAAGTTATAAGCAATCCTGACACATGACTCACGTTGTAGTACTGGCGATGCATGAGACGATCCTGAAATGTCCGACCGCGGGTTGTAACGGAAGAGGCCACGTCAGTTCTAATAGAAATACCCACCGAAGTTTATCTGGCTGTCCAATTGCAGCGGCCAACAAGCAGGCAGCCAGAGAACAAAACAGACAAAGACTCCATCACCACCAACCCACGTCTTTGCAATCAGGTTTGTATCAGCGAACTTCTCCCGAACTTTCAGGCTCTCTACTTTGCTACATCCTTCTCCCTCCTCCATTACCGTATGCACACCTCTTCTTTCCAAGTCTTGACATCATCAAGAGATAGATGTTAGAGGGCATGAGTAGAGTTTCTCAATTAGTTGATTAATCGATCAATCGACCTTCTGGATGATGTAAAATTCAGACATCTATTCGTTGCATGGCTGACATAAAGGCGTAACTACACATTGAGATGGTTATAGGAAATTTCGTCAACGATTTTTTGTCCGCGCACCTGTTTTTTCCAGTAATTTACGTCCACGCGTTTTTTCGGCACGGCAGTTTTGGTCTACGTGCCAGTTGAGACCCAAAGTTAATTGGCCCACATGTAAATACAAACGACAATTGCTCACGACGTTTTTGGATGAAAATGTATAATGTCTTGGAAGAATGAGGGTTTGCTTTTTTTTTTCTTTTGTCTGTTTGGTCCAACGGATAATAATATGTAGTTGAGAGTTTTGGTAAAAAAGCGTCAATTCCATGAGACAAAATTCGCTAAAACTCTCTACACCTCTTTGGTATGACAGGACTTAATTATCTTTCAAGAATTCCCACCTTGTCATACCTGAGCCGGATAAACCTCTATATTTTCCTTATTATATTTATAGGCTCTTAGATTTTTCCTGTGTACGATAAGTATCTTGATTTATTTTGCGAGGAAAGATTTGTACTTTTAAAGGATGCCTGTCATTCTTAATACGTTCAATTTCGTATAATACTCTGCAACACCTCTGTTGTGAAATAGTTGCTTCAGGCGCCGCGCCGCAGCACGGCGCGGGCGGGCGGCCAGCGCGAAGCGCGCATTGGCGCCTACAAACCTAAGTGGATTTTACACGCATTGCGCAATGCGTGAAGTATCCACTTAGGTTTGTAGGCGCCAGTGAGCCTCTCGCGCTGGCAGCACGCCGCTCCGCTCCGTTAGGCTTTAATATTTATACTCGCATGGTCAGCGTTTTTTAACTCATGATTTCGAAATGTTAGCACACTCTGCATTGATTATTCTCATTTAAATTGATGAAGGGAAAAATATGTATCAATTTATCAAAGGAGAATAATAATATAATGTGTGTTTTTTTAATATTGGTGGTACCGTGTCAAATTTAATGATTTCCAAAGCACTTTAATTTTCTCTTTTACATTTTGTGCTTTTATTGTGCTGCAGCGAGGTGTGCGCGCAACCAAACACTCAAAATTTGACGTATTTGACTCTAAAAGATCGATGTTCAAATGCGAAAGATTCCGTGAATCCTAAAAATTGCGTGCTTCTTGGTTTTTTCCCCTCTTTTATTTATTTTTGCAGTTTCTGTCGGCACAACTGCGGCTCGTTGAGATTAATGTCGCTTGGAAAAGATTTTACAATTATTTTTCACGTTTTAAAAATAGAAATGTTTTCGAATGAAGTAATAATTTCGTAAAGAAAAAATTAAAAAAAAATAAAAAAAGTACCAATACATATATATGGTATATTGTACATAGAATATTTTAAGGATAGAAATAAAACCAAATATTCACCCATGAGAATTTAAAAAGATGATTCAAAAGGAGAAAGTAATAACATTTCATTTAGAAAATGAGCAACCATAACAACACCTCCTTCTCTCTCAATTTCTCATCTCCCTATTGTCAATATAATTTTACATACCGACTAAAATATAACGCTTGGACCAAGTCACTGTTGCTTATTTTACGTGTGGGCGTAAACTACCGGACAAAAAAGGTGCGCGGACAAAAAATCGTTGACAAAATGTCCTGAAATCATTGAGATGAGCCCGGAAAAGCATTGAATTGTATGGAAGACAGGGTTCATTGCAGAGGGTAGTTACGCCCTTTTATCAGGTAGGCGACGTATTAATAATTCAATCGAATCAAAATTAATCGATGGATCGATCATTTAATGGATTAATTTGCACCTTTGGAAACGGTGGATTGTCAATGTCAAGGTGTACCCTTGAACGCCAGCCAGGGTTCCCAGGTGTAAATCAGCGCCATTTTTGCTGAATTTCAGAATTAAAAATCATAGGTATTGAACATTGTCGATGATAATTTCGCAAATTTTGGCGCACTATCTGGCCGTACTTTCTCCTGAAATCCTATGTTTTATGTTACACATTATCACTGAGCTTTGAGATGAAGCTTTTTCATGTTCCGTGCTGATTTTTAGAATGACTTGAAATTGACTAAGTTTGTGATATTCGATTGATCGGTACTATTTTAATCGATTTAACAGTTGATCGACATTTTATTTTAGGATTCGAAAATAATTAATTGAATCCAAAGACCTTTGATTAATCGATTAATCAATCGCTGCAGTAACATTGACACAGAATCCTTTGACAAAAAAATTATCAATTCAATTCCTCCTATGTTGATGCTGCCAAAGTAATTATTAGACAAATCGNAGAAGGGGAAAAAAGTAAAATTTAATACGTTTTTTCAAAACCAAAAAAAAAATTAAAAAAGTAAAAAAAAATTTAAAAAGTGGTTAACTCCAATCTCCTTATTATGACACATATGCATGCCAAATTTCAACTTCCTAGGGCAGATGGTTCTCTCAAAAACTGTACCTGAAGTTGACCAAAATTACATGGGGAAAGATAGGACTACAATCTCACCTTAATCGATTAATCAATCGCTGCAGTAACATTGACACAGAATCCTTTGACAAAAAAATTATCAATTCAATTCCTCCTATGTTGATGCTGCCAAAGTAATTATTAGACAAATCGATTGTCAATTTTAACATTTCTGTAGTTTTATTCTTGAATAAAAGAGTTCGTACATTTTTAATGGTGAATTATCAACTGCTCAAAATCACGAGTGCTCAAATCATATCAAAAATGTTTTGTTTTAGAATAAAAAAAGAGGAAAAGTTTAAAACAAATTGAAATTGCCCCAATAGATGCAGTATTTTCAGCCGCTAAAAGTACATATAAGAAGTATATTTTGCCATAAATATTCGGAAAATTGAACGAAGTCAAATCAGATTTGAATATAGGAGAATTATAACAAATTTTGCATCATAGAAAAAAATCATTTGCGAGTTTTGTAACGCCTAACTTTCAACAAAACCCAATGGCCCAAAAAGGCTATATTCACTCACTTTACCGATACAAGCATTTGAAGGTCAAACTTAACGTAATTATTTTCAAATATATCACCAAAATCTACAGTTGCAAATTGTAAAGAGTAATCTTTTCGATTGTGTATAAAAATTCAAATGGGAAGTTGAGCGGAGAATCCTGATGCGGGGAGTTGGGTTAAGTTGCGGGTGGGATGAGATCGAACTCCAGGCAAGAAAGTGGTGTGATGCAGACTTAAAAGGGAGATGTTAAAGACAGGTGTGTTTGATTTTCCAGTGATCTCTGATTGTCAGTCGGAGTGCGGGGATTTGAAGACAGGGCTCCCGATGAACATGTCACCTGCCGACTCGAAACTCGGCTGCTACACGATGCCCGGCTACGGCGAGCACCAGCTCAGCGCCCGGGGCCTCGAGTACATGCCCACCACCTACTTCTCGAGCCCGCCCTCGAAAGCCCAGATGAAGCCGACCAAGATCCTCCAATCGGAGGAGGCCGCCGGCCCCGGGCAGGGCGACAAACTGAGCTCGCTCAAGACGGAGCCAATCACAAGCGGGAGCAACAGCAACAGCTCCAGCGGGAGCACTCCGAAGAGCACGACGCGCACCGAGCCGAGCATCAAAACCGAGATGATCCGCCCCAACAGCGCCCTCTCGTGCAAGTCCCCGTCGGCCCCGACCCCGACGCCGGCCACCTCCGCCCCCGTCTCCACGACCTCCACCTCCAACTTCCGACAGCTGACCGCCTCCACGCCGACGAGCGTCTACGACCACTACATGAGCCACGACTCCAACTCCTCGACCGTCTCCAGCGTGGACCCGCTCACCCAGGGCGCCGGGCACCTCCAGCCGCTCCCGCCCAACGCGGGCCTCCAGCCGCCTCCACCCCCGCCGCCGCCTCCGCCGCACTACGGCGCGCTCCTCGAGGAGTCGGCTCGGATCCAGCACCGCGCCGCCTACGACCCGAGCGGCCTCTCCGGCGACGAGCTCTACCACCGCGAGCAGTCCCGCTATCAAACGCTCGCCGCCGCCGGGAACATCAACCGACCCGTGGCCGCCTACTCGACGGCCGGTTACGATGTCGGCGTGGGTGGTCACCGGCCCTACGACCCGGGCAGCGGCTACGAACGCTACGACACGGCCCAGCAGACGTGTCAGCCTTGTCAGCCGTGCCAGCCGCAGCCTCAGCGCTATCCGACCGAGTACATGGACCAGGACATGGCCGGCTACGAGCACCACCACCACCACCATCACTTGAACAACGTCATCAAGGCGGATCTCGCTCAGAACTCGGACTCCACGGAGACGCCTCTGTATCCTAGGTAAGCTAATTTTCAAGTAAACGAAGTATTGAGCTTTTAGCCGATTCAGTACACGGAGAAAATAACTTCGTGCGTGGGACCCGAAGTTTAGGTCATATGGATCTCTGAAGTTTTCGGATTTAGCATCTGAACACTTTAGGTCCAGCTGCTGAGGTTTGAATCACATATCTGAAACTTCAGTTCTTACATCTGAAGTACTTCGGTTTTCACATCCAAAAACTTCGGTTCTCACATTCAAAAAACTTCGGTTCTCACATCTGAAGTTTCAACTGAGTTTGAACTGAAGTTTCAGATGTGTGATCCGAACCTCGACAGCTAGACCTACAGTGTTCAGATGGTCAATCCGACAACTTCAGAGATCCATACGACCTAAACTTCGGGTCCCACGCACGAGGTTTTTTTCTCCGTCTAGAAGCGAAACAATGAAATTTCAGGTCATGCTCGACAACAGAACAGCGTGTAAGAGAATTACATGTTTATTTAAAAATTACTCTTACATGATGGCAATAGCAGCGTGGCCTGAAATTTTAGCTTCCCCTATTTTTCATCGTCAAATACTTCTTTGAAAATGTTTAAGTACATTCTGTCAATCGTGATGAATGAGTTTTGAGCCCATAACTGCGATGATGATGGTCCAAAGGATTCAATTCTAACACCATCATGTTGGCACGTTGCGAGATTTCAAATTTCTAGTCACGTGTCATTCGTGTCAAGGGGGAATGCGTAAATCAATGCACGATTCAGGTGTATTCTGAGCGCGAGGAGAAAAGCAGAAACTTTAAAATTCATACACTCTACAAGAGCTTCAGAAAAGCCTAACGAACGAACACAAACAAGGGGAGGCGAAAAATGCACAGTAAAAATACAATCGAAACTGCAACGCGAAACTCGAAGGACAAAAATAAGCGGTGCAACGCTTATTGCGGGAAACAAGAGAGATCGAAGCGTCAGTTGAGCAGACTCGAATTATTTATTGATAAGCCAAATCAAAGTTGATTTAATCTCACTTCCGTTTCGAACATCGGACTACATAAAAGGTTCACCCCTCCCCTCCCATCTCTTCTGTAAAGAGAGTGCACAACAATGAATTGCGAGTGTAAATGCCTTTAATTCACGGGAGTTAGTGGGAAAACAAGGGAACATCGGAGGAGGGGTGCTTTGATGTTTGAAAATAAACGCATTTTTTCTCCGATGCGGCGAACTGCTCGCCGTGGCGGGAGCGCTCATAATTTCGCATTGGTTTTTTCTTCTGGTTATTTATCGGATGTGATTTTTTTATTTGATTGCGGCAGGCCAGTGTACCATTACGACCCTTCCTCCTTGCCGGCGGGTTTTCCGGCAGCCGCTGCGATCAACTTGTCGGTGAAGTGCATCGCAGCGGCACAGCTCAAAGCGGCTACTCAACAGCAGCGCTCCCCTTCTGTTATGGACCTCTCTACCTCTAGTGTTACCTCTACCAGTCCCCAGGTAAGAACCACCGCCTTATATTCAATGCACCAAAAAAGAGGAGAAGTTGACTTAAGGTGATTCGATGGACGCCATATTTTGTGTCAGAACGGCATGCGATTTATCGCATCAATTGGTTCCATTTTTTAAGCTTCTCGTCATTTTTTTCCAATTTTGAGATCGCAATTCTGTTGTCAAGAGACTAAAGCACTCACTTACCAATTTTAACAAAGAAATTCAACGTAATAAAGGCGTGGTTTTTTCAGAGAGAAAATATTGCATTCGATACTGATATCGAAACTGCACTCGAATGCGATATTTTCTCTCTGAAAAAACCACGCCTTTATTGCGTTGAATTTCTTTGTTAAAATTGGTAAGTGAGTGCTTTAGACTCCTGACAACAGAATTGCGATCTCAAAATTGGAGAAAAATGACGAGTAGCTGAAAAAATGGAACCAATTGATGCGATATATCGCATGCCGTTCTGACACAAAATATGGCGTCCATCGAATCACCTTAACATTCTGGATGTAAAAAAAAGGGCGCGAGAACTTATAAAATGCTGAATTAACCGCTACAGCAGTTACTTTAGCAATACCAAGATGTAAATCTAACTGCTGTGGCGGATATTTCAGAATTTTTAAGTTCTCGCACACTTTTTTCACATCCAGGATGTTAAATCAACTTCACTTTTTTTTCGGTGTGATTTCAATCTTCACTGCTCCGTCATAAAGTGAAGGGAGCAGTAAGTGTCAACTTTTCGAAATCGGGTTTCCTTCAAAATTCGTCTAATATCTTTCAGATAAAATCACTGGACAAGCTAAAACAGCGAAATTCATTCTAACTAGATGAAAACGAGACACATGAGAAAGCCGTAAGTGCACAAAAAATCCAGTATAGAGGGATATTGCTTTGACCATTTATTAAATACGTTTTCAAACATGAAAGTCCTGGTACCCTTATACTAACATAAATTTTGAATCAAAACTGTCAAAAATGAAATATCCCGCATGATTCATATTGATAATTTCGAGGAAAGTACAATTACTCCTCAATGTGAGAGATCGGTTGTTTCGCCACAAATTTTGAAGTGACATACGCTGTTTGTTTCGAAGAGAGGACCGTGGTGAAACCCATCTGAATGCCTTTAATCGAACACTTTGCGTCCTTTAAAAACCCCTTTAGAGGAACCTCATCATCTTTTAACTCTCCTAAAATTGTCATATGATGTGTTTGGTGGTTAAATTTTGCATAGTATCACTTAAGTAGAAGTACTGGTTGTAAAATGTTCTTCAAACTCAGCGATACCTGGTCAGAAATAGTTTCGGCCAGCTTTTCTGGTCGAATACCTTAGTGCGCGCCGGCCAGCGATTGCACTGTGTTTGGCGCAATGCGTGGTAGGCGCTAATATGCGTCTTGCGCCGATTGGCGACCGCTCTGTATTTAGCGCAATGCGTGAAGTATTTCTGCAGTCTTGTAGGCGCTAATATGTGTTTTGCGCCGACCGAAGGCCGCACTACGTTTGGCGGTATTAGAAACCATATAACACAGGATTACATTTGAAAGAAACTATAACGATTAAATATATTAAAGAGAGAAATTTTTGCGAGAAGCCTGGTATGCAGAATACTTTTAAGAGGGCTGATTTTTGAGGATTATAATTTTTTGGAGACTAATTTTGAGTGTTGTATCAAAGATTTGAATTGTGTTATTCCTACTCCGAAATCGAAAGTTGTCATCTTGAAAGTGTTACTAGTGATTAATACGTGTAAATATTGATTGAGAAGGAAGCAGAGGGCGAATTAGAATTGGCTATCAACTACAATAAAACTTTTGGTAACACACGAACAAATGATTATGAAGCATCTATGTATATCAGTTATTATTTAAGTGTCTACCTTGCACTATAACTCAGAAAAAAGGAAATTTGTCGTGTGTCAATTGGATCGAATTTAGCAAAAAGGAACCAGCGCGATTACAGTGTTGTAAAAATATTGCTCCTTCATAATTTTCTAAAAAAATCTCCCAGAATAGCAAATAGTTTTTGCTTCCTACCATAAAACTGTTAATTTTATAGGAGAATTATTGTGCACATTTTAATACTGTACAAGTTTGGATTATTTTTTCAGAAAAGACGAAGTTGCACAGTTTTGAAAACGCTGTAATCGCGTTGATTCATTTTTGTTAGATGCAGTCCTTCATTTTGTAAATTGTATTGAACAAAAAAGGAGAAAAATAACATTATCTTCAATCGTTGTTGGTCATTACACCTGCGTTACCTATATTGAAGGGGGGGGGGGGTTAAAAAATAAGTTGAATACAAAACTACCCTCGACTCATTTTTCCTTCTCAAAATAAAGACTTTATTTTTCTCTGTTCCACTCGGTCCAAGTAATCTCCCTACTTAGGTATTCTAGTTCATGCCAGCGGCATTTGGCTTCAAACCCGTAGATTTTTCTCGCGAGGAACCAAGGTTACCTCGAAAGAATTTGATGGGTGCACGTTGGGAGCTTGCAAAGCTCAGATGGGGGNGGGGGTCGGGGTGGGAGCTAGGGGGTGAGCGGGAGGGGGAGGGGGAGGCGCTGTGGAGGCAGACGTGTGACGGCGCGGCGTAAAGTCGAGCTGAGTGGCTGGCGAAATTGAAATAGAAAAATCTAGGCGTGGTTTTAGACGGAGCCAATCGATGAACTCCGCCATTGGCCGCCCGCGCGTTTCGTCTTGCCTATCCGTCTATCCATTTAAACCTCCTATTCCAGGGCCGGAGCTCGTGAGAACCAATTATCCAACTTTTCTCCGCTTCCACCTCCTTCCCGTCTATCCGCCACCCATTTTCTTCCACCCCC